GCTGATCATCGGCACAGCGCGGTGGCCATTTTGATGTAAATGAAGCAGTGATTATTTAAATCGCCGCTTCATTTTGCTATGTCTAGTAAACTTATCTACATGTCTCCGTTGCTGGAGCCATGTAGTCTAAACATACCCATAGTGAGGTTCACTGACAATTGGACTGCAGCTGGTACCCATGAAAGAAGAGTGCTCTATTTCGAAATAAGTGCTGTTTAGACAGCTCCAAAACTCGAAATACACTATTTTGAAATAAGGTACGCAATTGATTTAGCTCAATTTGCCTAGCTTATTTTGAGTTAAGCCCTGCTGTGTAGACATACCCAATATGGCCAATCAAGTTTGAACTACTTTTAGAGCAAGTACTACTTATTCATTGTAAGTGAGAGTGGCAGTCTTGCGCTCTTTATGAAATAAGCAAAAAAATCAGTGTAAGGTATTTTCTATGTGTGCCTAGTATGGATTTTAACAGATTCATCTGAAGGAAAAATCAAAAAAGAAAGTCAGCCACAATACTTATTGCTAGTCATCCTCAATGAGGGCAGTTAATCTGCTTGTAAAGTACTACTTGTTATGAGTAAGGACAGCAGAATCAGGCCCAAATTGAGCACTTCAAGAGTCTTGCATTGTGCATATAAGCATGAGTAATTTAGCTGAGTGGAAAGTGGATGGAAGGGGTTGAGATAAGCTACTGTGCCCTTTATGAAATATAGAAGCACCGTGTGCATGTGTGTTTATCTAAGATTCTAGGAAATAATGTATGATGTTATATCAGTTGTATATTGGTAGTTTTAGACTTTATCGGGTTAAAATTACTTGAAATTAAAGATGGGGCAAAACATTCAAAAGTGCCTATGTCCCATTTTCAAAATCAAATAAATCGTGTCTTAAAAAATGATTAGGGTACATAGGAATGTAACTTTAAATTTAAATTCAATAAATAGTTGAAGAAACAAACCAATTTGAGTGAAACACATGAATGAAACAGATGATTTCTAAATATCACTAGCATTATGAAGTATTTTGGATACAGTTCCTTTTCTTTGAAATTGAATATGGTTTTGAGAATCTAAATCAAATAAAATAAATTCAGACGGTCGTAGTCATTATAGGTAGATTTCTGGACTTACCCCCCTAAATTATGTAAGTTGTTGATCTGGTTGGTTAATGGCTATTGGAAAGGCAAAAGAGCCTGTGAAATAATGGGTAAAATGTCAGAAAATATATATTTGGCTAGGAAATTCCTAGATGCAAGAAGAGACTAAGAACTTTATGAAGCATTCTCATCAGAAACTTTGGAATGACTCAACCTAGAAGAGTAATGGTTTTGTAATATATCTTTCCCCCATTTCCCCTACCCACAGAGTTCCAGCAATTGACAGTGTCCAAAGAAAAGGACCTATTGGGGTTATTTTAAGCTCAAATACTAATCAGTACCATGATCTCATATGAACCAGAGGGCCAAAAATAATCTTTTGTATCCATAAAAATGCTACTTTAGTGGACAGATCTTTCTCCAAAGTCATGCACTGTGGGCCAAAGGATTACGGGGGTATGTGTGGGTATGGAATCTGTAGTTTATACTAGACCAGGATATCCCCCTCCAGCAGTAAATATATGAGCCTATGAGTTTTGGTAAGCTTTTCCTTGCTCTCTACCCAAAGAGGGCATTATTGGGTATTATGAGATAATGACTAAGTTCAAAGCTGGTTAGGATCTACTGGTGGAAACAAAGAGGTAGTGAGTTGTTAAGATGTGCCAATAACCTGCTGTCCCACTGTGTTTTTATGCCGTTTTTATCGATGATGTGTAAGAAAAATAATAATAAGCTGGCAGATGGTAGACTCATCAATCTTCAATACTAAACGGATGGTTTAAATTAGTCATAGAGTGAAAAACAAAACATAAGAACATTTTATTGCTTTTTCAGGAAGGCACAAGGAAGGTCATAATCAGCAGGGTAAAAATGACTGCTAGAATAGATTAAAAGTATTGTGAAAAGCCTCTTATTATTATGGCTTTGATTCAACCTTTTTCAGCTAGCATGAGATACAATCAGAGCTGCTGCTGACTATCAGGGCAATAATTCAATGGAAGGGATGATCCTTGAAGCTTCCTCTACTAATAAGGTGTTTGGATTTGCTTTTCCTTTTTCACATACCATATGTACTTGCCTAGCAGCAAAGCAGAGTAGCAGTGCATAGACTGAATGCTCTGTCAGCTCTGTCTGGCCTGCTGTATTTACACAAAGCTCAGGGACCAGGCGAGTCCCTTTGGAAATACATCTTACTGCTTCAATGCAATACTCTAAAATACCCTAAGGCTTCTGAAAAATCCATACATTGAGAATGCTTTATAAGAATAAGGAAGTAGGACGGAGGATCCTTGTGTATTGGGCAAAATCCTGGAGCCTGGTTTATTTGCAGGGGGTAATTAAGGGTATTGCAACTACCAAAGTGTCTTCCCTTCTGAGACCAAAATGTATCAGCAGCATGTGTACCTCTATCATGTTGCTAAATCGGTCATATATGAATGTTAAAATAATCCCAATTTCAAACTATCCTGGCTCTTCCATTTAGCCTCAGAAAGCCACTGAAATTTGTAATCTACGTGCTGGGGAGTTATTGAGGAGTTCTCCTGATGTACCATTTAGGATTTTTCTCTCATCTGTCTGTACTAATCTCTCTAATCAGTCCCTCATTTTGTCCGATCTCTTTGCGTGTTTACAAAGTACCCATTGCAGTAGCCTCTGCAATGGGTACTTTGAGAAGTGCTCTGAAACAATTCAGTTCTCAGCTCTGGTCCAGATAATCAATGTGATCTTGTAAAACTGATTATAGATAGACCATAAAAACAAATAAAAAAATCATATTGATGTCAGTAAAAGAAGGCTGTCTTCAGTAAGTGCATGCAACAGTAATTTCAAGCCATTTTCAGGATATGTGTCAGGAAACACAGATATGTCTTAGAATTCAAAGGAGGGGCAATGGATTCATTTGTATTTTACAATGGGATCATATACATTCCAGGACAAAAATTGCACACCCTTATTATCACCTGGATCATTTTTCTTTGAATAGCATATCTCCTCCATCTCCTAAGGCTGATTATTTTCTCTCTTAGATTCCTGTAGTGCAATATAAACACGATGTAATAATGACCGGGGGAAAAAGAAGCACAGAAATTGAATTCTAGATTATCCCTCCTCTGTTCCAATGAATGAAAATAGACTAAATGATTCCAGTTCCTGACTGAAATGAGTACAGACTTTATGCTTCCCATCTGCATATCACAGGTGAAAACCAGACTGTTTTTGTTATTTGTATAGTATAACAGAAACACTGAGTTAAATGGAAAGGTAACATGATATGTTCAAAGCTAAAAGGTTGAAAATGCTTCTTTATGTAGAATTCACTGATGTGGGAAGATGGTCATGTGGACAAATACTGTGGGCTGAATTTGAATTGATTAAATATTTTGATGGATCAAAGGTCATTCTTTACCTGGTGGAGTATACTCGGATGCAACAGTAGGGGAGGGAGCAGGTAGCCTTTGAACCTCAGACACTGGCCACTGCTGGACCAAGATACTAGAATTTAATGAATCAGTGGTGTAATCTGGTATGGCAGATCCTGTGTTTCTTTTACTTTTTCACCACTCCAGAATTGATTCAGACATTGGAAAGGACTATAGGAAAAGCCTAGTGTTATTTCCAATGAGTGAACATAGCTCGTTGAAAACTTACCATGCCACTTTCAATGAGGCAACGTTCAACAGGTCACAGGTCCTGACTTATTTGATGTTTTTATGTTCTGAGGGGTTTTTTTCATTTTAAAAATGCATTTAGTTATTTAAAAATTCGTTATGAAGCAAAATCTTATTTCCAACTGCGACCCTGGAGAGCAAGCAGATGGGAAGTTCCCACATGCAAACAAGCACATAAAATCCATGGTTTAAAAGGAAAACGCATGTTTCTGAACAAATACTGACAGCAGCAAATGAGCATATTGAAATCCTCTTTCATCAGCACTATAAACCTGTCAGATAAACATAACAGTGGGCCCCATGTTATGCAGTGAATACCTTTAATTAAAATTTTAACAACCTCTCCTTATTGAGTAATTGTCTTAAATACAGGTGATATTTCTAGGACTGAACTACATATGCTGAAATAGTGTTGACACATTACATGGCAATAAACATATAGGATAGGAGTAGGGAGGGATAATTGTCCTTTCAATATCATGCATTTTATGCAGTTGAGCTACCCATCTCACTGTCATCCAGAAATGGTTTGGCATCTGGGCACTTTCATTCCTATCTATAGACATGCAAAATGTTTCCATTTAAAAAGGATTTTCATGGTACATTGCTCAAAAAAATATATCTTCACTTATACTTAGTATCTGAATTATTTTGTGTTCTAAATTGACTATTAGATCATCTCATCTGACATCATGTATAAATAAGCCGAAGAATTTCACCCAGTTGCCCCTGAACTGAGCCCAATAATTTCCATTTTACTAAAGCATATCTTCCAGAAAGGCATCAAGACTTGATCTGAAAATCCCAGGAGATGGACAATCTACAATGTGTCCTTTTACTTTGTTCCAATGGATAATCGCTCCCATTCCATAAAAATAAAAGAAATAATAAGGAATTTTGATTACAATTTTAGACCTATTACATCTGCTCAAAATTGTCTTGTAATGGTTTAGGTTTCCTGTGCAGGTTTTGTGCTGCTTATAATCAGAGCACAATTCTGCTCTCACAGCTATTTAAGTCAGAAATCCCATCAACACTAAGTAAATCCTGTGTCGAGCCTTCAGTATGATACTTAGTAGTACTTGTAACTTGCCTGGGGGGGAAAAAGAGGGTATCCAAATATATGCTGTATAAATTTACCATTCTGCCTTTTCCTTTCCTCCATGAAAAAGAGGCTTGAAATCATTACTCTTCTACATCTTATTAAAAATAACGTCTTTTGTATTTCTTTCTAGAAAATTTTAACTATGATTCCCACAGAAGAAGAGAAACAGAAGATCCAGGAGGCCCAGATGGCAAACCCTGACATCCCCCTGGGTAGTGCAGAGCAGTTTCTTCTCACTCTCTCCTCCATCAGTGAGCTCTCTGCTAGACTCCAGCTCTGGGCCTTCAAAATGGATTATGAAGTAGTGGAAAAGGTAAACCTCCTAGTCAGAGGACAGGCAATTTCAAGTCCTTATTTCAGCTTGTTCGATCTTTATTATTACGTGACTGGGTATTGTGTATGAATTATTTTTAGCTTTTGTTTTGGTGGCCAACTGGAGATGGGGTGGATGCAGAGGAAACATTTTAGCTCTTTTTTATACAAATAGTTACCGGTTATGTCTTCCTTCCTCTAATTAGGTGATAATGAGTTAAGAACAATGTATTTCCTGGAGGTGAGGGCCCAGTCTTTGCTCACTTCTTACCTAGATATTAATTGGGCAAAAAACAAGTGGAAGTTTTGCCTACGTGAAGACTTAGTGTAACAGGATCTAACTGCTTCTAACCAGTGAAGAGGATTAATCATTATATTTATTCACTGGTTAATGGATAAGATCCCTGGGACCCTTCAAAATTGTTATTGCTATTGTAAATTACTGAACATAAAAAAAACCATGATTGTCTTTCAGATTTTTTCTAATTTTGCTCATTAACAGAATTACTTGGATATAGGCACAACATTGCTGCACTTGTGGATGTGCACTATTCATTCAAAAAGCCATAGAAATATTTTGTGAATTGTTTCTGCAAGCTGATGCAATCTGCAGGGTAGATTATTGATGAGGAAGACTCAACATTGTTTGGGTGATTTTATACATTGGTAACTTTCAAAAAGTTTTTTTATTTGATGCTTTGGTAATATTTGAAACCCCTATGACTGGGGCTCTCTGGTCCAGCAACATCTGTGGTCCTGTCAGGGAGTTGCTGACCAGAGAGTCTTGGATCACAGAGGTTCAACCTGTACTTTACTTTCATTGATATTATACTTAGAATAAGCTTGATCCTTGATCTGAGGCCTAGTCAGTAGTAGCTCAGTCAATACAAAACCTCTATTTCCCTGTTGAGCTTTATGATTTCCCATGCTGAAAAGAAATGCAAGAAACAATGTATTAGAATGCAGATTTGCCCTTGGATTTTGCAAATTTCCTCCCGTTAAGGATTTTCCTCCTTACGCATTTTTAAAAGATGCTCTTCTGCTGAACTTAGCACTTTAGTTTCTAGACCCAAATTTCATCAGAAATTAGAGTTTGGCTGTTTCTATATCATATTCTCTACTTCCTGATTTTTTATCCAGTTTTATCACATTTGAGCCACAGTAATTCTGCTATTTTTGATATCTGTGTGCATCTATTTACATAGTAAATTCTTAATGGGAGAGACCGTCTATTACACTATTTGTACAGTGCCTAGCACAGCGGAGCCCTGTTCTTCTTGGCCTATAGGCACTACCTATATGCAAATAATAATAAATAAGAATAATCAGCAGATGTATATAAAGAATTCTAAAATGATACAATTTACACGTGACTTGGCTGGATGAAAATGTACATTAATTTTACTGAGGCAGACTTTCTCTGTCTAACACAATCTTGTGAGGAACTACCTTTTTTTATCTAGCCCAGTATTAAGTAAGTGACTCCATTTTAAGACTTATCTATACACACATACATGCTGAACTTACATCAGTTTTTAAAACAAGTTAGTTAAACCTGTGAACGTCCCTGAGTTTAAAAATGCACTGTATTGGTTTAGCTTATTTCCATTATTTGCCAAATAAAGCTAACTCAATATAAGATTGAACCAGTTTAAACCAGTGTCCACATAGAGGTTTGTCCAGTTTAACTAAATCAATTTTGGGGGGGGGGGCTGGTCTACACTTAGTTCAAGATAATTATGTTGGCTGGGGGTGTGAAAAAAGATCACAACACTGAGCACAATAGTTAGCCAACCAAACCCTCAGCGTAGGTTCAGCCAAGTCAACAGAAAAATGCTTCCACTTGCATAGCTAGCTACTACTGCTTGAGGAAGTTGTGTTCCTACAGTAATGGGAAAAAAACTCTTCCATCAGAAAATGGCTGTCTTCACTTGGGGGATTATTCTGGCATAGCTACATTGTCCTAGTCACCATAACGTAGACATACATTTAAACTGGTGCAAGATTTGTATGTGTTTGTGCGTGTAGGCAATATCTTAGACTTCCTTACACTCATATTCTGATGTGTAAATTACATCATCTCTGAATTTGTTCGCCCCTGCCAATAGGTCTAATATGAAATGTCCAACACTCCTTTTTCTTTTGATTTACACAAAATGGTAATACATAATGACTGTTAATGCATAGTCTCTTGAAGCTCCCTACACATGTTTTTGATAAAATATCCCCATAATCTGTAAATAACCCATCATGTGTCCTCTAGGCAGAGATGGTCTCAATTGTTTCACTACTCAGCCTGAAGTACAGAGGCTTACTTTTGGCTCCTCGGATCATAAACAGAGTAATAATTTGGAGAAAGAGTGCTGGTTATTAGATGACTGAGATTAAATTTCCTGATAGAAAGGATTGAGAACTGTATGTACCTTATTGTATGTATAAAGTAAACAGCCCCTGGCCATACATAAATAAGCTCATTTATTTCAGTTACTGTCTCTTTCTGCCTTTGAACTATATAATGTAATCCATTTCCTGAGATAGTGAAGCACAATTTATGTTTGTAAGTCTCTCAATCTATATACTTGCTCACAGATAACTAGCATGTTAGTTATAGGAGGCACATTAAGAGTTTGCAAGTTAAATGGTTAAAATCAGAGGATCAGTTTCGTAAATCTTGACATTGCAGTGGGTTTTTTTTTTAGTCTTAAAGTAACAGACTGATCTACAGAAGTAGTCACATCTGCATCTCAGAGGTGGCCACCGTTTGTAGGGACCTGTAGAGGCAGATCAAAGACATCAAGGGCAGGGGACTGGACTCGATGACCTCTCGAGGTCCCTTCCAGTCCTAATATTCTATGATTCTATGATCAAGTTACCAAGTATTCTAGGTTTTCTTTGCTCTTGAAAGATCACGAAAGTTCAAATTTAGACCTTTCATTAATGGAGATTTTTACATCTCTAAATTAAACACAGCAGCCTTCTGCAGTGGGAGCTTCTCCTGTTTGCAATCCATAACATCCCTGTGACAAGGACACCAATTGCTTACATGAATAAGCAACTTTACGAACTTTACGAATATTTATCTTCTGGGGTTTTTATGTGATTTAGTAGCTGCAGCAAGGAAGCAAGCCAGCACCACACAACTGCCTCCCCTCTGCAGGGTCACTGTTCAGAACTTTTGTAACAATTAATCTAAAGCATAGAATTAGGACAGAAGGATCTATGAGAACCTACAGTCTTTGTTTTGTTTTGTTTTGTTTTTTGTTTTGTTTTGTTTTAATAACAGGAAGTTGCAGAACCACTGTTAGACCTGAAGGAAGGAATGGACCAGCTGGAGCATAATAAAACCTTAGGATTTATCCTTTCTACTTTACTAGCCATTGGGAACTTTCTAAATGGAACCAATGTAAGCTTTTGTCACCCTATTATTTTATCACTGTTATCACAGATTTTCCTCATGAACTTCTGTATCTTGTGTTACGTTTTTTACCCAGTAAATATGTGTTTCTAACACGTACACGTATTAAATTTAACAAAACTTGAATTAAAAAATTGAATTAAAAAAACAAAACTTACATTGTATGTTTCATGAATACTATTTTCCCACTTCCAAATAAGCTCAGAGAGATTTGGGATCAGGCACTGTTCACGCACCAGTTTGATGCCAATGTAACTCCATTGACCACAGTCAGGTCATTTTTGATTCACACTACAAGAATCACCACTTTGTTCTTTTCATTGAAAAATGAAATGGTCTAGATATCTACTGACTCTTCAGAAGAATGTAAAATGGTGTCAGCAAGATTCATGTAGTCTTCCTGCTTTAGTATTATTTTAAAAGAGAATACTCTTCTTCCCCTCACTCCTCACACAGGCTGTGTCTACACTGGCATCCCTTCCGGAAAAGGGATGCTAATGTAGCACGTTGGAATAGGCAAATCCGCAGGGGATTTAAATATCCCCCACGGTATTTGCATTAACATGGCTGCCGCTTTTTTCCAGCTTGGAGATAAGCTGGAGAAAAGCGCCAGTCTAGACGTGATTCTCCGGAAAATAAAGCCTTTTCCGGAGGATCTCTTATTCCTACTTTCAAAAAAAGCGGCAGCCATGTTAATGCAAATACCGTGGGGGATATTTAAATCCCCTGCGGATTTGCCTATTCCAACGTGCTACATTAGCATCCCTTTTCCGGAAGGGATGCCAGTGTAGACACAGCCACATTGTATATCTTACTAAAATGTTTTCTTTGAGGAGATCTGCATGGACAAAGTAAACTTAACTATTTTTTTTAAAAATTTCCTCTTCTACACAGGCCAAAGCTTTTGAGTTAAGCTACCTCGAGAAGGTTCCAGAAGTCAAGGACACAGTGCATAAGCAGTCGCTCCTGCACCATGTCTGCACTATGGTGGTGGAAAAATTCCCAGACAGCACAGATCTCTATTCAGAAATCGGGGCCATCACTAGGTCAGCCAAGGTATGTCTGAAAACAAAAGAAGAAAAGCTCCTTGCATTTGCTACAGATGACGGATCTTATCAGTCTCTGTGAGAAACAAAAACGTTTTAAATGTAACATAGAAGTATTTGCTTTTATTTTTTTTCATTCCTCCTCACAATGATTCTTATGCATGTGGATTTGTCATGTCACTTTTATGGAATTTTAAAGGTACCGGTACTCTGCTCTTTCTGGCTGTATCTTTGTCTACCTGTCAGGCAGCAAGCATGCTACTACATCATCCATAAACTTGAAACAAATTCACAGTCTTTATTGTGTTTTGATACAACTATCAACAGTTATTTTAGAAATCACTGAAGCTGTCATTATCTATATGTTATTGTTACTACAGAAATTATGCAAAAGCAACAAGGAGTCCTGTGGCACCTTGTAGACTAACAGATGTATTGGAGCATAAGCGTTCATGGGCAAAGACCCACTTCATCAGATGCATCTGACAAGGTGGGTCTTTGCCCACGAAAGCTTATGCTCCAACACATCTGTTAGTCTATAAGGGTATGTCTACACTACCCCGCTAGTTCGAACTAGCGGGGTAATGTAGGCATACCGCAATTGCAAATGAAGCCCGGGATTTGAATTTCCCGGGCTTCATTTGCATAAGCGGGGCGCCGCCATTTTTAAATCCTCGCTCGTTCGAACCCCGTGCCGCGCGGCTACACGCGGCACGAACTAGGTAGTTTGAACTAGGCTTCCTAGTTCGAACTATCGTTACTCCTCATTCCACGGCACGGGGTTCGAACGAGCGGGGATTTAAAAATGGCGGCGCCCCGCTTATGCAAATGAAGCCCGGGAAATTCAAATCCCGGGCTTCATTTGCAATTGCGGTATGCCTACATTACCCCGCTAGTTCGAACTAGCAGGGTAGTGTAGACATACCCTAAGGTGCCACAGGACTCCTTGTCGCTTTTGCAGATCTAGACTAAAACTACCCTTCTGATACAGAAATTATAGATGTAACCATGTGATTTTTTCCTTATTTACTTTCAGGCTAGTATTTGATTTTATTGATATCACCCAGTGTTTATTTTTTGATGTTGAGGACACTATTTTCTTAAGTAAATATGTTGATTTAATTATGTCAAACTCATCAAGAGACCAAGATAAACTGTTTGTTTTTTCTTTTTCTTTTAAAACAACTAACTGTTTCAGAAGGGTTTTAGAGAACCAAGGTGGATGAGGTAATGTCTTTTATTGGACCAGCTTCTGTAAGTGAGAGAGAGAAGCTTTCGAACTTACACAGAGCTCTTCATCAGATCTGGGGAATGTTCTGACAGGTTATGTCTACATGGGGATTAAATAACCTGCAGCTTGTTTGGGTCCGCTGACTTGTACTCACAGGGCTCAGGCTCTGGGTCTGAAAACGGGTCATGTTAGATATTCAGGCTCGAGAGCCCAAGTTCTGGAACCCGATGAAGATCAACAGGCTCGTGAACGTGGAGGTGAGGGGGCATTGTTCTGGGCCCCAATGATTCTAAAGAGACCAGGGTGCCTGGTTCCCATTGAATTGGCATCAGAGTGCTGCGCTGCCACTCCACGTAGAGCTGAGCACTGGTGGGAGTGCATGCTATGGGGAGGGCCTGCTCCTTCTGGGGCACAGCATTGGGCCCCGCACACACCTAGCTGTAGGACCCATGGTGGCCATCAGCCCGCTGAGGGTCAGAGGCCCTGGAGTTCAGCACCTGGCCTGAACCTGAATGTCTCCACAACAACTTTAAGACTTGCAGCTTGAACCCTTTGAGTACAAGTCAGCTGATCCAGGCTAGCTGGAGTCATTCCACATGGCTTTAATCCCCATATAGACATACCTAGAGTGACACAGCTAATGCAAAATTGAAATGACTGTTTAGCATAAGTCATGAACACATATTTCAAGGAAACATTCAAGGTGAAAATAGTCAGTTACAACCTCTCCACTCATAGTAAGTAAAGCCAAAAAAACAAAAAGCTGGGAGAGACGGGGTTAATGGGTTACAGATTGTTGTAAGAAGCTATAAATCCAGGGTGTCTGTCCTGTCCATGATTTTTAGTGTCTAGCTGATGAATGAAATTAAGTTCCCAGGCTCACCTTTTGAAATTGTCACAGGTTTGCTTTGAGGATGAAGACTGAGAGGTCAGATATAAGCTGATCATTTTGTGAGAAATGTTCGCCCACAGATGATACAGTGTTTATCTTTTATCATTTGTGTGAGTTCATTAAAAATGCAGTGATTGTCTGCTTTTACCACATCGTTATTATTGGGTATTTAGTGCATGAAATACACGTTGTGATAGGCATGTGTAGAACCCTGGAGCTTGGAAGGTGTGTTGAGGGGGATGGTCATCATTGTAGCAGTGGAGATATTTCTTTAGGTTTTGCATCTGTTGTTCTTGCAGAACCAGATGCCACTTTGAGTTGGCGTGTCCTGGTCTGTGGAGTGAAGTGTCCTAGTGGTTATAGTGGTTTTAAGTGTGTTAAAGTATATATCCCAGACTTTCTCTTGACGGTGTAATCTGTGATATTTGAATGCCTGGCTGTTATCTACCTAAGATCTTAGCCCATCCATCTTCTCTCCCTCTTGGGACCAGCATGGCTACAGCAACTTCGTGCATCTTTAATTCTTTTACTGCATTTTTGTGCATCTTTTACTGATTTTGAACAGTAAAAGTGAAGGGAGTCCAAATTTGTGTGGCGCATAAGGAACTCTGCCCTGAGTCCCCCACTCTTCCAGCCCCCTGCCCTAACTCCTGCACCACTCTACACCTCCCCCCAATCCTCTGTCCTGATTCCCCCCTCCACCCCGTCCCGGCCCCCCGCGCTCTATCCCACACTTAAATGTTTTACAGGTACTGTTGTATGGCAACCTCCCTCTCCAACTCCCTGCCCTGAGGCATCCCTCTTCCCCCCTCTTTCCCCCCAGGAGGTTGTGATACGACTTTATCCGTATGAAATTATGTTACTTTCATCCCTGCATAGGGGGCTGCACAGTTGCCAGTAAGGACAAATTTAGTCTTCAGAACTTTTAGTACTGAAAGTGACATGCATGATGGAAACCATTCAACTCAACTCCCAGAGCCTAAGTTGAATTTTCTGACCTGGAAATTAGAAACAAGATATTTTACATTTTAAATTGCATGCATGGTATATGGAATCATTGGTCTACACTAGGAACTTATTCCGAAATAACACCCCCTGATTGAATTTATAAGTAGTGCAACCACACTACCAAGCCCATTATTTTTAATATAATAATATTTATATTTAAATAATGGGCCATGGTATTCGACCTCTGTAAGCCTATTTTTCACGAGGAGTAACGCTAATTCCAAAACAGTAATTTCGAAATAACGTTAGTGTGGACGCTCTGGTGACGCTAATGTAAACTTAGGCCTCCCGCTGCGCCCCAGAGTGCTTCCTGGGGCTCTAAGTCCAAGGTAACACGTCCACACTAACAGAGCCTACTTCGGACTAATTTTGATGCATCCCCTTAGTGACGATACGCTAGTTTGAATTTGTTAAATCAGGAGTTTTAAAGTCGAATTTAGTAATTTTGAAATAGTTTCCTAGTGTAGACATGGCCTGAGAGATAATCAACATGGGTATCTAGAATGCTGTTCTTACGGAATCACTTTTTATAGACATGGGAATGGGTTGGGTACTATTCTAGTATCTGGTGTATGGCAGTGGTCAATATCAGCTGTGCACACCGATGTACAATCTTCTTTTACACCATGACATGTTCTAGTTCTCCGTGATACCTTTGTTATCATGAGTTCCGCAGTCTAATTTTGCATCAAGTAGAAAGTATTTTCTTTTATCAGTTTGGAATTTGCCAACTTTCTGTTTTATTTTTATTTTACTGGCTGAATTAAGATCCCCTAATTTCTTCAGTCTTTCTTCTTCATTTTTCCATGCTCTAATTATTTTCACATCTGTGTTTGTAGCCTCTCTATATCCTTTTTTTTTTTTTTACATGGGATGAAAGACACTTAAATCAATATTCCAGGTGAGGCCCTACCTTTGATTTATATAATGGCATTTTAATATATTCCATATTATTTTCCATCCCTTTCATTAAGCACCCTGGCATTTTGTTTGGTTTTTGACTGCTGACTCATATTTTACAGTAGTCTTTATGGAACTGTCCATAATGGTGGCCAGGTGTTTTCCTGAATGGATACAGTTAATCTGGAACTCAGCAAAGTGTCTGAGTGGTTCAGATTACTCATTCTGCAGTAGATCACTTAGCATTTATCAACATTGAATTTTATTTGTCACAGTGTTGCCTATTGAATTAGTTTCATTAGATCTCTCAGGTTCTTCACAATCTTTTGAAGTTGAATAATCTAAATAAATTTCGATCATCTGCAGATTTTGCCCTCTCAGTGCTTACCCTCTTTTCCACATATTAGTCAGTGTATTAAACAACAAAAGTTCTAGTACAGACCCTTGTGACATTCAGCTTTTAATCTTGTGCCATGATGAAAATTGACTGTTTATTCCATGCTTTGTTTTCTCCCTCTTGGCTAGTTTCTGGTCAGTCACAATACTTTGCCTCACTTCACACGACTTCTTAATTTTGTGACTAGCTTTCTATGAGGGACTTTTTCAGAGGCCTTTTGAAAGTCTAAATTAATTTTATTTACTTGTTCTCGTTTATCCACTGTTTTACTGGCACATTGAAAGCCTTTGAATAGATTAGTGAGGCATGATTTATTTTTATGAAGTTGTGCTGCTTGTATCCTATCATAATCATCTAAATGCTTTATAATTATATTTTTAATATTATTTCAGCCAATTTACTAAGCTGCTCTGTCATTTCCTGGCTCAACCCTCACACCTTTTTTTTAAATACGGGTACATTTTCTACCCTCTCATCCTACAACATAGTAGCTTGTTTTAATAAGAGAATGCCTAATTTTGTGAGCAGCTCAGTCGTCTCATTCTTAAGTACCTTCAGAACTTTGGGACAAGTTCTGGGATG